GCTAATAGTTTTTAAAAATTTTGTATATACATAGAATATATGTTAATAAATGTGTATATATATTATAGATATGACTTCCTGTTTTCCTGGTTGGTACGCATGCGTTGGACCTGATTTTTGCATGGTCTTTTCTTCTCCCCTATCCCTTTTCCATATCTTCTACCTCTTCTCCTTCTGTCCCATTCCTCAGGTGTGAGAGCCATACTGAAAGGATGGAAGGTTGGCTTTGTGTCAGTCATGAATGCCTCCAGGAGCCAAGGGCACTGTATTCCTTTGTTTAGTTGCCTTACCCTTACCCCTTATGGTGGACTGATTCTTTTCCCAATTTATTCAGGGTCACCATGGCCAATAATGAAGATTCTTTACCCCTGATAGGGGCATTAAGTCTTGCCCCTTCATCAACTAGCCAATCTAAATTCAATTTTGGTGAATTTCCAACCCCTGTCTTTCCTTTGACCACATTTCTGACCACTGATACTAATACCCCCTCCTCGACAACTCTATCCATTCCAAACCACCTACCCAGGTTATTACTCAATCTCTAGAATGCAGCCTTTCCTCTCTCCCAACATTCTCTTCTCCATCCCCTACTGCAGTCTTTTTCAATGTCTACCCCCTTTTCCGTTATTACCACTCTTCATCTTTATTGTCCTCCCCACAGTATTATCTCACCCTAAATCACCCCATCTTCCTCTCACCCTTGTCCTTCTCCTGCTATTCCTTCAGAGGCCAGCATAAGTCCCATGTCAATATTGCCTAGATTAGCTTCCATTGATATGACCTCCTCCATAAATTTTATATTGGCAGATTGTCCTACCATATAATGTCAAAAATATTGGCAATTTGAGAGCCCAGCCAAACACTCTCCCTCCACAGCCCGCTGCCCTCTATATGCCCAAGCTGCTCAGTTGCATACATGTGCCAACTGTGGAGACTCCCATAATGTAGTTTATTGGAGCAGCCCTGCCTATAAGCTTGAATGTGAGGTAGCAGTCCTGAGTCAAACTAGGCCTCACTCTATGTGAGGCCAGACAGGAAGTACAAGGTTTTTCTCTCTCAATGTATTCCAAAAGTCCTTCTCTCTGCTCCCCCCCCTATCTTCACTCTTCCTCCAGAGGCCAGCATAAATCCCATGTCAATATTGACAAGATTAGTTTCTGTAGACATGACCTCCCCCATGAACTTTTATATATGTAGATTATCCTACCATGTCTGACCACGTAGACCCCTTCTTTGTCAATGTCAGAAATGTTAGTGTTTTGGCTACCCAGCCAAACACTGGCTCTGCAGTCTGCTACCCTCTATCTGCCCAACCTGGTTATGACCGTTCAAATTGCCGTGCTCAGTCACATGTACGTGCTAACTGTGGAGACTCCCATAATGTAGTTTATAGGAGCTGCCCTGCTTATAAGCTCGAATGTGAGGTAGCAGTCCTCAGATTCAAACTAGGACTTCCTCAACATGAGGCCAGACAAGAGGTGCGATGAGGATTTTCTCTCAATGTATTCCAAGACGGACCCTTCTCTTTGCTCCCCCCCCCCATCTTCAAAAGATGTTTCTGTATGTTTCCCAGTATCTCATCCCTATACCCTGAACCATCCTACCTGTACTTGCCCAATCCCCCACTCAAATTCCTTTTCCAGTAAAATCCAGATACTCCAGTCTTTACCACTTCCCCAATACCTACCCCTCACATATCTATCCCCAATTCTCCACCTCACGAGAACCTTTATTTCTCACTTCTTGTCACCCAACTCCCCTCCAGGGACTCTTGAAGACATCCAAAACTTCCTAAAGATGACCCAAGGGAACACTGCTCCCTCATCCACTCTCCAATCCCTCTATTCCTACTCCTACATTTAAAGTATTTACCAATATCCATTCTCCTCCTCCTCAAGTAAATTCCTCCTACACCCTTCCAACATACCCTATCCTCTTTACAGCTCACACCTGAATGCTCACATAAATCCCATGTTACAACAGTGTCCTTCTCCAAACCCCTCCCCTCCAGACATTCTTCCTGACCACCTATCCCAGTCATCCCCCGGACTCTTCTCCTCCTACTTCTTCAACAGTCACCCGTTTTCCTTGAACAATGTCCCTATTCCTTCACCAGTCACAGATACACTGCAGTTCACTCAATTGCTCTACCCCCTTAACCCTTTCTCATTTTACTAATCTCTACTTCCTTTGCTTCCTTCATTTCCCTTTTCGCTACCATACTATCTTATAACTCTCTCTAATCTTTGACATCTAACCCCCACCCCTGATTATTCTCATACTTTTCCAACAGCCATCTGTTTTCCTTGAACATAGTTCCTATTCCTTCTCCAATGAAAGATGCACTGCAATTCACTCAATCACTCTACCCCCTTAACCTTCCCCTTTCTACTAATCTCCGCTCTACTTCATTTCCTCACCTCTTTTCCCTTGTCACTACCATTCTATCCTATAATGCTCTCTAATCTTTGACATCTAACACATTTTATCCTAATGTATAATTTCTCTTTACCCTTCATGACACAGTACTTTACCATTGTGCTATATGACCTTTGATGTCTAGCACAATTATTTGTTTCAAACATTAACCATTACCATTCTCTTATTTTAGTTTTCCGAGGAAAGGAATGGGGATAAATAACAATTCAAAAGATTACCACAACTATCTTTATGAGTGCAAAACATAAAAATGATACAAATAAAATATTTTCACATAAGGTTATTATTATAACTACTTTTTACATATAATACAGAAGATCTGGATAGTCCTTTGTACTTGTCAATAGTGTAACATAACATGTATTGAAAAAAAAAAAAAAAAAAAAAAAAAAAAAAGTTGCAACTCCATTTCACCTGAACAGTTTAATGATACGATTATCATATGCAAAAAATAATTAATAAAGCAATGATTGGTTTTCTAATCAATTTGCCCTTCACCAGTATTAAATAATGTAAAATTACTGCCACCTTAGGTCGTGATAATTTCTCACTTGCAGTCAATTAAAAGTTGCAAAGCTCCCTCTTAAAGAGCTCTGTTGTGATGCTAAGAGTACATTCTGTAGTATCAGAATGAGCTTGAAATACAAAGGATTGCAAATGAGGACATTAAAGTACATAATCAGTATGTGGGAGCTATTACAAAAAAAAAAAGAAAAAAAGAATCTTTCCTAAAACCATTTATAGATTTTATACATTCTTGTATTTGTGTACATATATATCTTCTAAAATCTTTTAAAATCTTTAGTTACATGAACAAGTTTCTAAATTTCACTTTACTGTGGTAGTATTCTACAATAAGCAATGCTAATGGAATGTCAGACAAATACTACATTTTCCTTTCTGTGAATACAGTAAACAGTCTCAGGCTATTGATTTTTTAAAATCAAGTCATTTTACATTTTCTGGAGAAAATTCATACTAAATATTATATGGTAACATATTCATTTGGTAACTATATTACAAGATACTTTAAAAGACAGCAGAAACTTTATCTTAACTTGCATAATGTACTATACTACAATCTGCTTCAGGTTCTACTATTCTTAAAATCTACAATGATCTAACTCACTTTAAATTAATTCTTACATACCAAGAATTTAATTATTTAACTTTCAATTTTAAGTAAATTGCACTAATATTGCTTACATTCATAATATGAAATGTGATCTGATAAAACTTAAATAATGATGACTGGGTCTTTTACATTAAAACAATAAGGTCTTCCAAAAACACAAGGAAATATTTAAAAACACCTGGATCATTAAATAAAAAGAAAAATCTGGAAGCGTTGTCCACAAAGCACCAAATACTACCAAATACTTTATTCGCTGAGGTTATTGTCTTCACCTGCCTCTAAATGGGGGTAATTTCATAACAATCACCACCTTGATGAGTGATTAATATCGACTGCTTACATAGTTCCTAGTTAAATTAATGTCCTGGAAGAATGAAAACTAATCAAAACCATACAGGACTTAGCACCTCAATCTGTGATAATATATCAATAACAGATAATAATAATCTATTTTTTTGTTTCTATGAAGTGCCATTCTTTATATAAGATACACTTGGATGTAATTTCTCTTTTTTGTTTAATCATATTTTCAAACAAAAATGTGTCAAATAAATATCTGAACATACTTCCCTACAGAATCCAGACACCATATTCAATCCTAAATGCCCCTTTCCCGTCTTTAAGTCTACAAAAATGTCTTCAAACATAAATATACATTGTGTGGGTCATCCCATGCTCTGGTTTTATATTTTATTTACATTAATATTTTTTCTAAGATGTCTTACAGTATACAAAGAGCAAGAGAAGATAGCAAGAAAGGGAAAGAGGGGGTAGTGGGCGAGGGAGGTGGGCAAAGTATTAAAAAGGAAACATTAGGAATTGAATTACATACTCATAATTTTGTAATATCATGCCGATTTCATATATTGTAAAGTATATAGGGAACACTTTGAACTTAGCCTATAAACCTTTTTCAAAAAACAAAACAAACAACATACATGAGATCCAGAGAAGAGCAACCACTCTTGCTTTTCAAGTCTTGCACAGATGCTATATTGGATATTTATAATACATAATTATTTTACATAAAATTAAAAGTATGTAGAAAAGAATATTTTATTGTTTAATATACAAAACAATAAGCTGTAACATTTGTCTGGTATATATTTATATTTATATATATTATTTACATATAAAATATGATTTTTCATGTCGTTCGAATTATATACTAAACAATATTTTGGCTCCTTAGAAGGCCTTCTATTTCTGCGTCCGGTACTTTATGTACTGTCAGTAGATGTACCTTCATATGATAGTGTCGCGACAGAACCTTTTTGCATACTGGACATTTAGTGCGCAATTGATGAACCTGAAAGAAAGTCCATTTACTCAAGATATTATTTTCAGGTAAGCAAACTATTCCATTATTTGCAGAAAAGTTTAATTTACATTTGAAGTACCAAACAGTCACTGTGTATATATAGTTCATATTACCCTAATTATGTAATATAATTACAATTTTCACATAGGCCACTCCAAGTTCACTAACCTGATAATGAGCGACGAGAGAACCCTGATGCTTGAACACTTTTCCACACACTTTACACAAGGGGTATCCTCCATCGTTGAAATTAAGGCCAAGGGTAGATTGACTGTCTCCAGGTGACCACTCAACTATAAATGAAATGAACATCATTGATTATTTCACGTCTATGGTATCTTCCATTGGTTGTAAATAAGTTATTTTCATTACACCTTTAATAAACTGACCCTCTTTTGGATTATCAGTAAGTGATGAGCTATCATTGCTGCCTAGTTCCGTGTCTGATTCTGCATCTGGGGAGGGGGTCTGGTCATCTTCACATTTCCCAACAGCAGGTTTGTCTCCACCTGAAAGTAAATTTATAAGTAAATTTTCCATGTCACAATAAATATCTTTCAACTATGCTTTAATATGGTTTGCTCGTTGCCTATCTCACTTTTAGTCAACATTATTCAAATTACTACATGTACACTGAACTTTCCTAGAGTTACAGCACCTGGTGCTAGAGAAGAACCTCGGGCTGCAGGTGCTGATATAACAGCAGTTCCTGGAGCAGTTGTTCCTGCGACAGGATCTGTCCTATTAGTATCCAAAACAGGTGCCTGAGGCTTGGCTGCTGTTTGTGAAGGGACAGTGGCTGTGGCTGCTTTTGAATTCAGGTCTTCCTGAGGCACTTTTCCAACCAGTGGTTGTACTTCAGGTCTGAGGAGGTTTTTAGATATTACAAATCATGTTTACAAAAAACAAATTTCACTACATATTTTCTCCCCATTATTTTATCTAATCAGTTACTTAGGCATTTAAAAAATCCATTGGTACTGGGTACATACACTTTATTTATTTATTTATTTATTTTTCTCAATTTATTTATTCATATCTTCATAACTGCTGAATCACCAAGGAGTCAATTACTCTGCCTACACTAATTCATTCCTTGAATTTCTGTTAAACAGTTTTTCTGTTACTATTATGATCAGCATTATTTTCATTATTGTTATTATCACTTTCACTATCACTATCATAACCATAATGTCACTAACAATAGTAACAGCAATACTAGTAGAAAGGTTTTTTTTCTATGAAAACTCAGGAATAGGGCAAACAAGTAAGACCTTGTAATTTACTCCTTGGTGACATCTCTTCTGAAGTCACCTATGTGTAAACAAAAATATTAAATGGACATTGCCAGTATCAATGGCTTCAAAAAAAAAAAAAAAAAAAAAAAAAAAAAAAAAAAAAAAAAAAAAAAAAAAAAACAGCAATAAAAGTATATAAATATTTTTCTTTCTTTCTTTTTTTTATAACAAGAAAGTTGTGAATACTTCCAGTATAAAAATTATTTCCCTGTTATCAGTTTAGAGCTCCTTTTTCCCCCTTTCTTACCATTTCCAAATAATTTGCCTGTGACAGTCTCATTCACCAATCAGATATTAAAGTAGGGACTAGCAGTACATAATGAAACTTTCTTTTTATCATCATAGCCTCATTCTTGAGAATAAAATCTGCATCAATAAATATAAAACACAAGAGAGTTTGAGAGAATAAAACATGATATCCTATAAACAGATTTTGTCAACTAATTCCTAGTACAAATAAATAAATATATTCAAAACTAAGACAACCTTATAATAAAAAGTGAAGTCAAACTTCAAAATTATTAAAAGCTAAAATAATGAGCAAATGACTTTAACATTATATGGTGTATTCTACAAAAGAAACAAAATACAATTGCATAAAAGCATCAAATAAAGGAAAGAACCAGACTAAAGCAGAAAAAGGTAAGGATGTCAACCATGCACGGACACGGCTATAAACAAAAAATGAAACCTGCCTTATATTTAAGAATACTAATGTAAAATCATATATCACAGCTATTTAATTGTATTGTTATATGATTAAAATAATGTCAGCTTTGTGCTAAATATTTAACTCAACTGACACTATCAGAGACGCAAAAAATAACCTGAAATTAATAACAAACACTGCTACAATCAGATTTTAGGTTTACGTTCTTTAAGTTTCAGAAAGAGATCCAGAACACTCTATTGCCACTATGGAAAACATTAGTGATTCTCAGATTGCAATATCAGTGCCAGGTATGGAATCCAAGTCTCACAAAAGACGATATTGCAAAAACAAGTTTAAAGAGTTTTCACCTGAAAATTAGACTGGGCAGGTCTTAGATAAGCAAATCAAGCTTTACTTTTTTTAAAAGACTGAAACAAATATAAAGTATTATATATACATGTGGAAGATCACTGACAGCATTAGCATCAAATCCAAGATAGGTAGAAGAGGTGGCAATCAAGGTAAGACTGTCCCAAACTGGGAAATGTGTAATCAAAGTTTCTTAGTTAATGGGCCTCAACTGTTTGATAATGTACCAAAAGTATTAGAAACACACTTCAGAGCTCTGCTCCAAGGAAAATTAGATATTTAGTTAAATTCAATACCAGACAAACTGGTAGTGAAAGAACATGGGCTGAAGCAAAGTCTATTCCTCATCAAGTTCAGTTCTTAGTAGTTGAAAGAAGTTGGGCAATCCCCGAGGATGGTCCTCAGAGAGCTTTTGCTTAAACTTACATCAAGTAACCAAGTAAAAAAGTGAGGAATCATACTGCTGAACACATACCTGATTAAAGGCTATTTAGTGAGATTGATTCATAAGTTTAATTTCTTATCCTTGTATCTTTATAATATGATCTTATCAATACCTGTTTCCTAATTAGCTGATAAGGATAGTGAAAAATGCTGATATAATGAGAAAATGTCAAAATTTAAACAAAAGAGGCAAAATTTAAGACCTTTCAATATTTATCGCTAACCTGCTAGAATCAACAATCATCAATCTAATTTCTAAAAATCAATAATCTAGGCAGCAGAAGAAAACAACAAATCTTTTAAATCCTGACCCAATCAATTTTGACTGGCAGGATAATAAAAGCAGTAGAACAACCAATAAGAGGGAAAAAGGATATCTATGATAACATCTCATAAAAAGTGCAAAGAAAAACATAATAAAAAAGCGCAATTAACTACAATCCAAGTAGCCATTGTGCCGCAGTCACCTTGGTGGGAGGAGGGTGTGGGTGGCAGGGAGGGGTCTCCGAGGCCTCTTGAGAGGTGGAGGCTGGTGGGGCTCTCCCCCCGTTTCCCCACCACCACCCAAGTAGGGCTCAGGCAGGCGGCCAATTTCGCCACAAAAGTGCTGGGTAACAAAAATGTACAAAATAAAAGTTCAAATGCAATAAAAACAGACCAAACAGAAGACAAAAATAAATGCATGCATCTCTGCTAAGATTTGGGTGGCATGCAGAAATTCTTAGATAAGCAGTACATAGCAAAGAATAAAGGAAAAATTGGGAGTCCCTAATGAACTGGTCAAAACTTTTTCTTACTTTCCTTTCTTCTTTTTCTAAATAACTGAAAATATGTAATTTAATACAAAGTAATCCATTACAATATAAGTTTGAGTTCACAGAAGATAATGGGGAAAAATTACATGTATGAACACACATCTACACCAACACAAGGATAAATACACATCCCCCCACACACACACACACACAAATCCACATACTCCCTCACACTCACTCACTTAATACCTTTTCCCCTCTCTATTTTTCTCCCTTTCCTTCTATTGCTTCCCTATCCATCGACCCCTTCCTTTCCCTTCCTGTGGCTTGCAGGGAGGGAGGGGGGCTAAGAGTGGGGGGGCTTCAGATCAAAGAGGGAAATAAGATAGTGATTTTGAAATTTACATTTAAATCAAACAAAGTGATTCATCTGTCTTTACATATTGAAAGTAACTCCATCTCTCATAATATTTCTCAGTACTAGGCCTTATACTTGAGTCTTTGGGGAAAGCAATCAAGGAGTTCAACCCTGGTATCCCCAGACCTCTGCACACCACTGTTCCCTTCTTCATTCTTGCACTTTCTTATAAATTCTCTTTATCTCTTGCTCTTACTCACTCACCTACTCACTCACTCACTCACTCTCTCTCTCAGTTGATCTCTTCTACTTCTCCCTTACATCTCTCTTTTGGTTCAATTTTTTCTTCACCATTATTCTGCTACTTTTTCCCCTCTGTCTATCACTCTCATCAATGTTTCTGATCTTAATTTCAAAATCATCCCTTTGTTACCTTTCCCTTTCTTTTCTACAGAATTCTCCTCTACCCTCTTCCCCTTTTTTCTCACACTAATCTTTCCCTTCCAGTCTTTCCTCACATACCTTACATTTTGTTTGCTTTCATACAATTTTCTTTGGCTATGAGTGGACCCCAATCTAATATGACCTATCATATCTACATTGCAATAACAAAAGTCGGTACTACATAAAAATAATCAATAATAACAATTATCTACAGAGCTAAAGAGTATACATACTGAAAACAAAATGTGCTTCTACTAAAAAAAATCAGACAAACTGAAAAATACATGCAAACAATTTCCGCAAAAGCTCCTCACTTACCCTAGCATCGGGTGGCTTGGCATGGATGTTGTTATTATTATTATTTACTGCTGCAAGCCCTTTGATCTGTAGGGCCTCAGCAGTGCGAATAAAACCTGGTAACTGATCCTGCATAACGTTAACCTGAAACAAATGTGGTTCTTTCATAGTTATCGTTCATAGTTATCATTCAATCACTTCAAATCTACTGGAGGGTTAATTTCAAATTGTCTAAATTAGTAAGGGGTGAATATCTTACATATTGATTTCAAAACTAATATTTGATGCTTCGACATTGCAGTTATGTGAATATACATTTTTGTGTATGCTCATGTGTTAATATGTGTTAGTATGTATAGCAATTGTATGTATATGCATTTGTGTGCATATCCATGTGTAAATGTGTGGACATGTTTGTGTGTAAGTATGAACATGTGTGAATATATGTTTGCACCCAAATGCATGCATGCATTTGTGTGTGTGTGTGTGTGTGTGTGTGTGTGTGTGTGTGTGTGTGTGTGTGTGTGTGTGTGTGTGTGTGTGTGTGTGTGTGTGTGTGTGTGTGTGTGTGTGTGTGTGTGTGTGTGTGTGTGGGGAGATGCGTGTGTGTGTGGGGTGATGCGCGTGTGTGTGGATGCGCTTGTGTGTGGATGCACGTGTGTGTGGATGCGCGTGTGTGTGGATGCGCGTGTGTGTGGATGCGCGTGTGTGTGGATGCGCTTGTGTGTGGATGCGCGTGTGTGTGGATGCGCGTGTGTGTGGATGCGCGTGTGTGTGGATGCGCGTGTGTGTGGATGCGTGTGTGTGGATGCGTCTGAGTATGGATGCGTGTGCGCGTGTGTGCGTATCTGCATGTGTGTGCGTGTCTGCATGTTTAAGCACATGTATGTATATGCATGTGTGTGTATCATGTCTGTGTACCAATGTGTGTAGAAATTTGTTCATGTCTTTTTATAGGTACTAATGTACGCACAATTACTAAAGATACTAACCTGCCCATTATAAATGAAGTCCATGATAGACTCTAGTTCCCAAAACCTTACATCACGAAGAAAAATAATAGGATGTTCACTGGGGTTTTCCTGAAACAAGAAATAATCCTCCTTAAAATACTGGACTGCATAAGTATGTTCTTTCTGTCACAGTAAAATAAAAGGAAAGATAAAAGTATGAAATTTAGCTTATAGCAAGTGTAATAGAAAAATTTGGGGAAAAATATGAAGCTTTTCATCTCCGGTCCAATACAAAAATTTGCTTACTGTTTAAATATGACACTCACATATTTTCTTCTAAAAAGTATATCAAGTCACTTTTCACTCTCCTATTCTTGGAATGCATGATGTAACTACTAAACTTGGTGACTATTTTCATGCATAATTCCATTTTACTAAAGCTAATACCAGAACAAATAAAGCGTTAAAAAATAAGAAAATGAAAAAACAAAAACCTAAGAAAGGGGGTAAAGCATTTTTATTAAAAATAATTAAAACATTTTTACTAATATGGCTAAACAGACCAGTAAAAGACCAAGGATTTACTCATTAACCTTTTTTTATCTTGAAGATTAATATTCATCGATCCATCTAAAAATGTAGAACTGTAGTAAAATAACAGAATATTACAAATGATGATCATAATGATGAAGACATAGATAAAGATAATGATAATAATAATGATAATGATAATAATAATAAAACAAAGAGCCAAACCTTTAGTAAATCCCTGAAGAAATTGGAACAAGCTGACAGCATAAGCTTATGTGCCTTCAGCTGTCTTCCATCACATGCTAAAGTGACATCAACAAAATGTCCTTCCTCAAGCAGTGTGCGTAAGACCCCAACCACGCTGCTCTGGTAATTATTCCACCGTAGACAAAAGCACTGTTCACTCATGTTGAACAATTTGTTGATAGCACCTGCAAAATGAGACACATTTTAGATAGCTGCAGAATACAGTGTCATAGTCCCTATGTCACTCTCTATTTCACATCTGGCTGTGTATTACTTTCAAGCTTAATTGCTTACTACCAATAAAGCACAATTTTTTCCTTCCTTAAAATTTGTATATCTAAGAATTTAGAGTACGCACCCTGAACCACACTTAAATAATGCAGCCTAATAGAAAATCAATTACTATACTTAAATAATTGTAAGTACACAAAGGTAAATACTTAAAATCTCATTCAGTAAAACATACACTAGTATATCAAAACAAAATTAATATGTAATGACAATGATAAAAAAACATTTTACACTAAAAAAATATTCTGGTTACATATCCGAGGGAAAGATTGAAAAAAACATAAATAAATAAAAAGAAATAAAAAATAAATAAATAAAAATCTTGTAAGGAAACTTCATAATTTAACAGAATATCCCAGTATGCACTTGACTCACAGTAAAATATAAATTAGGGGAAGAAAACTAACAACTCATCTAAGCAATTTGCCCCACCATTTGATTACAATAATTTCACTATAATGTTCCCTATTCAAACTATAAACAATGTAGTATCACTTTTAAACATTTCTCTATAGATGGACATTGTAAACACTATACTAAAGACAATACCATTAAAGAAACTGTATCTGTTTGGATGACAACATAATATACAACCATACAGCTACAAGTATACCATCTGCATGAATACTTAATTCTGTAACGTCCAAATTATATTTGACTGAAATATACACAGATACCACTGACCATTTTACTTTTATGTTAATCTAAAATAAATAATTAACCATTTTGATGAAAAATAAGATAATCTATATTGTAAATAAACAGTAAATAAAATAAGCAAAATATACTTCCACTATTTTAGAAAACCAACAGAGATCTAAACTACCTATAAGGATAACTAAAATACAGTGATCATCAACATCAAGCTTCACCTTCTGTATAATTCATTATGGAACACAGATGAGATCATGTTCCTTAAAATCATGTAATACATGCAAGTAGTTTCCTACAAAAAAATGCACCATTTTGCAGTTGTGTGCAAATGCAAGATAATGTGAGCATAATCAATTATCAGATAATATAGACAGTTGTCTGAGATGTCAAAATCATTGAAAATAAATACCCTATCTAAAGCTCATAATAACTCAGTCTCATTCATGCCTGCTGTTTCCTGACAAAGTAAACAGAATAATAAACCTGTGTTGGTGTCTGTAAAATCTTTCATTTTCCTTTCATAAATGTTATAGCAGAATATATTACAGGAAAATCTTTTAAAAATTACTATCTAAGCTGAAAGAAAATGTCAAACTGTTCAATAAACTCCGCATTATAATACCAATAAGTTCCTGTTCACAATGAACACACCAGGAGGAATTTGGTGTTATAATACATTCTCCATGTGTCCTTTACACATATGCACAAAACAGAAAATACTAACAATTTCAACAATATCCTTTACCATTCTAATTGACAACTCAGTTTAATTCCAAAAATTCTTGAACAGAAACACATGCATCAGTCAACTAAATGTAATTAATCTCACACAACAATAAGAATATCACATTGTAGAGATAACCTTTGTTACAAAAATGATAGAACTTTGCATTTCTAACATCTAATTTGTTACTCAATAAAGTGTTCCTGGCCAATTTCTGAATCTTTCCAAGAAAAAAAGAACAAACTGTAAAGCAAATTTTTAAAATAAAAACTTCACATTATATCATAATTGTTTAAAAGGCTGACATGATATCAGTCTCCATGCCTGTAATTCAAAAAATGTTCCAGGCAAATTTCCAAATCTCTTTCCAAAAAAAAAATAATAATAATAAATAAATAAACTGTAAAGCAAAATCAAATAAAAACTTCACCGTATAATGATATCAGTCTCCATGCCTGTCAGTGCTCTAACAATGACCAATAATCATATATGTCCTGACAAGATCAAAAAGAAACAATTCTAAGTTCTTATCATCAAATAAGCAACCAATGTGAGTTCCACCTTTCCGTAACACCCCTGGTGGAGGTTGGTTTGATATTGAGGCCACGGAAACCCCCTGATAATGCACCATTATCAGCTGGACTTTAGACTCTGCATCACAGAGCATAAAAACTTTGTGTGGATTTTACTGAGCACAGTCACTATAACCACATGAAAACGACCGCTTCTGAAAGGCACTATGGGTTTTTAGAATGTACACATATATTTCAACTGGTATATTTGTTTCACAACAGATTGCAAAAGTAAATAAAAACAATTGCTCAATAAAGGTGTTGTCACACTAGCACTTTTTCTGTCAATTTTTTTGACAACTTTCTGAAATTTTGTCAATTTTTGAGCTAATTGTTGATTCTCCAGTCAGACGATAATGATCGTTTCCGTCTAAAAACCTTTCCATCAACTTTCTCAGCCAAGCATAGTCAAATCAAGAGCTATATTCGAGAATGCTTGTATTTATGTTAAATAAAATTGTCAAAAAATTTACAGAAAAAGTGCTAGTGTGACACGGCCGTAAGTAGCCTACATGGCGAAAATAAATGTGTATATAATAGTACTTGGTAAAAATGAAACATTACCATTTACTTTGAAAATCTAAACATTACAAACAATTTACACAATATAAGTACCTAATTGTATACAAGGGCACTGTACTGTAGCTACGAGAAGAAAATTTCTTTATATAACATACAATTCTTATACACAAAAGTAATTCACTACTGAATTCTTGCTTTACAGCGATTAAAATAAATTTCAATGATACATCATAATAGGAAATACTAACAATGAAACTTAAATGCTAAATACAGAAAATGAAAAAATGCAGATATATATATCTATATACATATAGATATATAAATAAACTCTCTCTCTCTCTCTCTCTCTCTCTCTCTCTCTCTCTCTCTCTCTCTCTCTCTCTCTCTCTCTCTCTCTCTCTCTCTCTCTCTCTCTTCTCTCTCTCTCTCTCTCTCTCTCTCTCTCTCTCTCTCTCTATCTTTCTCTCTCTCTGTCTCTCCTCTCTTCTTTCTCTCTCTCTCTCTCTCTCTATCTTTCTCTCTCCTCTCTCTCTCTCTCTCTCTCTCTCTCTCTCTCTTCTCTCTCTCTCTCTCTCCTCTCTCTCTATCTTTCTCCTCTCTTCTCTCTCTCTCTATCTTTCTCTCTCTCTCTCTCTCTCTCTATCTCTTTCTCTCTCTCTTCTCTCTCTAATCTTTCTCTCTCTCTCTCTCTCTCTCTCTCTCTCTCTCTCTCTATCTTTCTCTCTCTCTTCTCTCTCTCTCTCTCTATCTTTCTCTCTCTCTCTCTCTCTCTCTATCTTTCTCTCTCTCTCTCTCTCTCTCTCTCTATCTTTCTCTCTCTTCTCTCTCTCTCTCTCTCTATCTTTCTCTCTCTCTCTCTCTCTCTATCTCTCTCTCTCTCTCTCTCTCTTCTCTCTCTCTCTCTCTCTATCCTCTCTCTCTCTCTCTAATCTTTCTCTCTCTCTTCTCTATCTTTCTCTCTCTCTCTTCTTCTCTCTCTCTCCGTCTTCTCTCTCTCCTCGTCTCTCTCTTCTCTTCTTCTCTCTCTCTCTCTCTCTCGTCTCTCTCTCTCTCGTCTCAGCTTTCCTCTCTCTCCTTTCTCTCTCTCTCCTCTCTTATCTTCTCTCTCTCTCTCTCTCTCTCTCGCTCTCTCTCTCTCTCAATCTCCTCTCTCGCTCTTTCTCTCTCGTCGCTCTTCCTTCCCTCTTCCTCTCATCTCTCTGTCCTCCTCTCTTTGTCCCGTTCTCTCTCGGCTTTCTCCTCATCCATCTGTCCCTCTCATCCATCATCTCTGTGTCTCTGTCTCTCTCTCTGGTGTTCCTTGTCTCTCTCTCTCTCTGTGTTCTTGTCTTCTCTGCTCTCTCTCACCCTGTCCTCCCTTTCCCCCCCCCCTTTTCCCTCTCTCAACCCTGTCTAATGGACTCTCTCCCTCTTTTCCTGTCCATTTGTCTCTCTTCCCTCTATCGACCTGTCCATTAGCTCTCTGCCCTCTTCTCCCTGTCCTTCTCCTCTCTCCGCATTCTCATCCCCTGTCCATCCTACATGCTCTCTCTTTCACTCCTGTCCATTCTCTCTCCACTCCCTGTCCAGAGACATGACAAGAAAGAGGAGAGACCAGACAGAAAGAGGAGAAGAGAGAGAGAGAGAGAGAGAGAGAGAGAGAGAGAGAGAGAGATGAGAGAGAGAGAGAGAGCAGGGGGGGAGAGAAGAGAGAGAGAGAGTATTAGGAGAAGAGAGGAGTGTTAGAGGAGAGAGAGAAGAGAAGAACGTTGAGTAGAGAGAGATTTGATGTTTAAAAAATTTGAATAAACATTATTTTACAGAGCAGTTTAACAATGCCTGTAAAAGCTAGGGAAGATGTTCGCGGAGCTCTAACGCAATCTGGCTGAACTATAACTGAGAGAGAGAGAGAGAGAAGAGAGAGTAGAGAGAGAGAGAGAGAGAGAGAAGAGAGAGAGAGTAGGAGAGAGAAGGAGAAGAAGAGAGAGAGAGAGAAGAGAGAGAGAGAGGAGAGAGAGAGGAGAGAGAGAGTAGAGAGAGAAAGAGAGCGAGAGAGAGTAAAGAGAGAGAGAGAGATAAAGAAGTATAGAGAGAGAGATAAAAGAGAGAGAGAGAGATAAAGGAGAGAGAGAGAGAGAATATAAAAGAGAGAGAGATAGAAAGAGAGATAAAGAGAGAAGAGATAGAGATAGAGGATAGAGAGAGATAGAGATAGATAGAGATAGAGATACGAGATAGAGTAGAGATAGAGATCAAGAGAT